GATGGATGGATGATGGATGGATGGAACAGTGAGGAGGTGGCCGCTCCCTCAGGGAGTGGGATGGTGGCTGTATGGGATGGAGGTGCCATCGTTGTTCCTTCATGGAGTGGGATGAGGGATTAATAGGAGAACCAGGAGCTTGCTGCTCCCCCACAGAGCAGGGTGAGGGATGACCAGGACGGTGATGAGCTCGCAGATCCCTCATGGGGCGGGATGAGAGGATAAACGGGACGTTCAGGAGCTCGCTATTCCCTCAGACAGAGGGATGGCGGCTGAATGGGACAGGGATGTCGCTGTTCCCTCATGGAGCGGGATGAGGAATAAACCGGAGCTCGCCGTTAACTCCCGGAGCGGGATGAGGGATGAACAGCAGCTCTCTGTTCCCTGACGGAGCGGGCAGACGAATAAACCGGAGCTCGCCGTTCCCACCCGGAGCGGGCAGAGGCTCGGCCCGGGCCCGTCCCCCCGTTGGGGCGGTGCGGCGGTGGCCTCGCCCCGAGCCGTGACGCGCGTCCGCCGGGAAGCGCTTCCTGCCCGTCACTTCCCCCGCCGCCACCGCCGCCGCCGCTCCCGCCGGGCCGCCGGACTCGTGCCCTGCCCAGGCCCCTGCGCTGCCGCCGCCATGGCCATGAGGCAGACCCCGCTCACCTGCTCCGGCCACACGCGGCCCGTGGTGGACCTGGCCTTCAGCGGCGTCACCCCCTACGGATATTTCCTCATCAGCGCCTGCAAGGGTGAGCGGGACGGGCGCCGCTTTGTTCGGGATCCTTCTCGGCGGGGGCGGGCGTGGGGCAGCCCCGCCGCTCTAGGCCGCGCATCGGCGGCCCCAGCGGTGTCGGCGGGGCCGGGGGGTCTCGGTGCCGGCTGTCCCGGCCGCTCGGGGCGGTGACACCGCCTCGGTGTGCTCTGCGGTGACGGAGCGAGCGGACAGCCGGTTTTCTTTGCTGGAGATTCGGTGCCGGATGGCCGCGGGGTATCGGAGCCCGTGCAGGGCTGGGAGGTGTCCGGAGTGGTTTGTTTGTAAAAGTTCTGTTCCCACCGCCGGTGCACATGGGCTGTAGTTGAAAGCGAGCTCCGGTGTGACCGGGACAGCTGCCTTGCCGTGCTGGACACGGTGTGATGGTATCTCCTTGCTCACTGTGGGAATAGCATTTTGTCTTCGTACATGTATATTTTAGTCGTTTGCGTGCATAAGTTTGAATGGGCATTCCTCTTTGCCTTGAAGTGCTTCCAGTTCAGCTTTGCATCTTGGGTGAACAACTCTTTGATGGCCTTCCAGAAAACACTGATGATAGGAAAGTCTATTACTACTTCATTTTTGTATCACTGTATGTTTTAATCATATCTCACTACGACCATAAGACTTGTCTGTACATACTGATGATCTTATGATACTGTCTGTCCTACAAGAAGAAAACTTTAGTAAAAATAAAACCTAAATGAAATGTTCCTTACTACATTCCTTCTGTCTTGAAGTTACAGACATGTACCAGGAAGCTTTAATCTCATTTGCAGTAGCATTTAAATATGAGTACAGTTTAGATGCATGCAGCAAGTACAGCTGCACATCTGAACTCTACAGCTAAACCCCTCTGCAAAGAGTGGCTTTGTAAAGTATGGGCTATTTCCACATGCTGGTGCGAGGGAATATTTTTCCTTTAAAAAAAACTGTTTCCTTCTTTTACCGCGTTGCCTGAATTTTGGTTTTGTTTTGGTGAAGATGGCAAGCCCATGCTGCGCCAGGGAGACACGGGGGACTGGATTGGCACTTTTCTGGGGCACAAAGGGGCTGTTTGGGGTGCCACCCTGAACACGGATGCCACCAAAGCAGCTACGGCAGCAGCAGATTTTACAGCGTAAGTGATGAATTGCCTTCGTGGTCTGTGTTTTGATTTTGTTCCTAGCTCTTTGGTGACAACATAGCTGTACTAAATTACTGATTCGTTTGTTTCTCTTTAGAAGCTGTTAGCTTATTTTTGGCTTGCCAAATTAAAATCTAGATTTCTGCCTTCTTGAAAGCAGCTACATTTAATTCTGTCCTGATGAACAGCTATGATTGCTTCTTGATGTGCTTAATTATCATACTGGTTTATTTTTCCTTAACTTCTCTGTGCAGCTCTAATCTCTGGCGTTGCAGTTACAGCAGAGTTGAGAGAGGGATTTTTATTTTTTCATCTAGCAGTTAGCCTCTTCTTATTACAAGAAACTTCTAGTGAATTAGTTCTTTGATGGTTTCTGTTTTGTTTGTGCTGTTTGCAGTATTAATGAATATTTTGCGAGTTGAATCTTGTTACTAGAGGTCAAATTCTATTAATAAAGTTGCAGATAGAGAAGAGCCCCCTTTGACTTCAAACTGAAATGTTAATTAGTTTGCATGGTCCTAAAGAAGAGCATAAAGGAAAGTGGTGGGATAGTCCAAAAAAAGCTCTGGTAACAATATATAAAATATTTTTGTTGGCTAACTGGGCTAAAACTTATAAGAATGTAGCACTAAGGCTGAAATGTTGTGGTGGCATCAGGAAAGACTGCTTACAAATTCATCTGACTGTCCAGGTTGATTTGTCCTGGTGCTTCTAAAATCTGAATGTTTCCTCTTGCTGTTTAGCAAAGTGTGGGATGCTGTGTCAGGCGATGAACTGATCACACTGGCTCACAAACACATTGTCAAAAGTGTGGATTTTACACAGGTATGAGAAACTTTTATACCTTATTCACCAGGGAAATAAGATCTTGAGTGTGTTTCGCTATTAGTTACTTTTTTTTGCTTTTTTTATTTTATATCTTAACAGGACAAATAGCCTAAAACACTGCTGCTCGTTTTTAGGATTGTAATGTAAATGTCTTAGAGGCTGTCTGAGGGAAAAAGCTGTGATTTAAGTCACAAAGGCTGTCTTTTGATTCAATGTAGAGTTGACTCTCTATAACTTCTGTTTCAGGATAGCAATTATCTGTTAACAGGTGGACAAGATAAGCTCTTGCGTATCTATGACTTGAGCAAGCCAGAAGCAGGTGAGTCTGACTTTTAAAACTGGTTCTTAGAGAATTTTTTAAAGTTAAATAAAAGCTCTGAAATTAAGGGGTTACTTTCTATTATGAATCACAAAAAACAAAGGGCCACAGAACTGCTTGGGTTGGAAAGGCCCTTAAAGATCACTTGGTTCCAAAGCCTCTTCTGTGGACTGCTAGACCAGGTTGATTTAAAGCCCCATCAGACCTGGTCTTGAACACTCCCCCTTCAGTCCAGACACACTTGAAGTTGGTCTAATTAATTAAAATTTAATCATCTGAAGGAAAAAAGGAATACACATACGTGTGAAGTTTAAATTGTGTTTAATTGTGTCTTTAAATTCTTGTTGATACTGAACTCTTGAGGGCTGATAGGAAATCAGAGAACATGGATGTTCACCATGTGAAGTTTTGGAAAGCTAGGCAATCAGATAACCAGTTTGTATTTATCCTGTTCCTGGAATAAGACCTACAAATAAAGTCCTAAGTGCTTGAAGAAATTCTACTGTCTCTAGTAGATGGAAATCTTTGTAGCTTAAGGAAGCCCCTGAACTGCTGCATGCCATTATTTCATTTTATTACATGTATTAAAATATTTGGCTTTCTTTTAAGAACCTGATGTTGTCAGTGGACATACTTCTGGCATTAAAAAGGCTTTATGGAGCAGTGATGACAAACAGATTCTTTCAGCTGATGATAAAACTGTCCGGTAAGAAAAAATAACTTTGAGTTTTCTTTATTGTCATGCTCTGTGTGAGGATATAGTTCTGTTCTTTTGGTAAAGGATATGAGTAGCACAAGTTAGACAGGAATAGACATGCAGCAGTCAGCTAATGAAAAAAGATTTTATTTTTGTCATAGCAGCACAGTTTAATTTCTGTTTAGATACCTCTTGCACTTCTAGATAGAAAATTATATTATGTTAATGAACCTCTGTAAATTGGGATTAGTACCTCTTCATCTTTTGAAATAAAAGGACAGAATGGAATCTTCAGGCCTTGCTTAAAGATCTGTTCCTTAGGGGAATTAAACCAAGATTTTTTAATCTCCAAGAGAATCACTGGGTAGTTAAATGATGTGTACATACCATTTAATGTTGTGGCATTAAGCTGCAAAGGTAGAAGTGTTTTTTAAGAAGGGATGTGTCTTTGAGCTTGGCCTAGGTGAGAATGCAGATAAAGCCACATGATCTGGAGTCAAACCATGTTCCTTGATGGGTGCCTTTTTTGATCCAGGTTTTGTCATGCATGTGAGATGGAAAGTGTTTGATTTACAGAAATCGTCTGAGAGACTTTTTTTCCTTTTTTGTTTCCTTTTAAGCCTCTGGGACAGGAGTACCATGACTGAGGTGAAGTCACTAAATGTGGCAATGTCAGTGAGCAGCATGGAGTATGTTCCAGAAGGACAGATACTGGTGATAACCTATGGGAAAACGATTGCTTTTCACAGTGCAGAAACGTGAGTCCAGTTTTCACAGGTGGAGTAATGGGCTTCTTGTGGGTAAAAACTGCCTGAACAAGGCCAGAATCACCAAGCTGTCTCAACTGGCATCTCTCTGATGTTTCAAGAAAGGAAGTTACATGCTTAAACATATTCCAGAAAGTATATGTGAGCTTTTGTTTTGCTTATTCTAAACTCAGTTCTAACTTGACAAGCATGATATTTGCAAGTATCAAAACCTGTTTCAGAAACTTTGTGGGGTTGCATTCTATTTCTGGTAAAATCAGTTGAGATTAGTAGAATGACAGTTTTCTTTGCTCTCAGGATTTTTTTTTTTTTTTAATATGAACTTTATTAACAAACTTTTCTCCCTCAGTCTAGAGCAGATTAAATCATTTGAAGCACCTGCTACAATCAATTCTGCATCACTTCACCCTGCGAAAGAATGTTTGGTTGCAGGTGGTGAAGATTTTAAACTCTATAAATATGACTATAATACAGGAGAAGAATTAGGTATGTTTGTCTCCTATAATAAAGGATTCTGAGATAGGTGTTAATAAAATAATGAAACTGTTGTACTCAAATGAGGTCTTAGCATAGCATACTGTGCAAGAGGATAATGAAAAAGTTTATAATATTAAACATTTTTTGCTATCTCAGTAAACCTAATATTCTAGAAGTAATTAAAACATCTACTCAGCAATTGTGCACCTATTAAAAAAATTCTCATTCTGTGTTGCTATAATAACTGTATGTTAAACTGTCATACCATTCATTAGATATGTCAGTTATGAGATTTTTATGAGAAATGTATTGGCCAAAATAGTTTCAAAAAAACCCATATTTTCTTACTGATCCAATCCTCATTTAAAATTATTTGTATCAGAAACTGATGTGCTTGTACTTAAATTTCAGCAGTTGGCTGAAATTTGAAATTGATGGTGTTGCCATGTTCCCTTCAGAATCTTACAAAGGGCACTTTGGTCCCATCCACTGCGTGCGATTTAGCCCCGATGGAGAGTTATATGCAAGTGGCTCTGAGGATGGCACACTAAGGCTGTGGCAGACAACAGTAGGGAAAACCTATGGCCTTTGGAAGTGTGTAGTTCCTGGTAAGTGCATGCTTGGTGCTGGTGAAACTTGGCATACTCCTGTAACTCCTGTCTTCTGAGGGTTTGTGGTCATATCTGCTCGATTGAAGGATGTATTTTTTGGAGCTGTCGTGTATGGAATTAACAGTATACCAGGAAGCTTTTTGAATATAGACACTTCGTGGATATTTAAGCCAAGAGTCTGGTGTATTTTTATGTTAAAGAGCTAGAAATAGGTGATGCCACTTTTATAATTCTGAAGGAGGGACTCTAGAAAGTGTGGATGGTAGTTTTATATTGTACTCTGGTTGTTTCAGCTTGGGGAGAGTAAAGCAATAACTACATGTGGGTATTCATTAATGGAATTGCTTGCTCAAGTGTTTCTTCTCAACCCTGAATTACATGGAAATTAGGTTTTTTTCTTTTTAAATTGAGGTGAGTGGGTGAAACTGAAGGTATTGACTGTTTGTTTTTCTACTCTTTCTCTACAGAAGAGGAGAATGCAGAAGCAGCAAAAGCAAGGACTACCCTTCCAGGAACTGCAGAGGAGGAAATAGGTAATGAACTGAACTGTCAGCTTCAACTGCCTCAGTGTTAAAAGATAGTCAGGATGATAGCATTCCTTAGTATGGAAGGAGTAGTTTCCCTCAAGTGCTTACTGGTATTTTTCACTCTTTTCAAAAGACCTTTGAATGCATTTCCCTGACACTGATTATGTGGTAGGTTTCAGACTGGTGACAGAGCTGTGCAGGCAGAACAGATGGGCTAGAACAGCTGTCTCAGCTTGAATGGGAAAACAAACTGAACTGGTCTCTTTAAGCAATCCCTGTAACATTTCTTTGGTTTATGTATTTAAAGTGAAATTAAATAACACCCTTTTTATTTAGTTGCAGAAGAGATTGCCTCTGAAAACTCAGATACAGTGTACAGCTCAACTCCTGAAGTGAAAGCCTGATTCCTGCAGCTGTTACATGGCACATGGACATGTGAGACTAAATCAAGTGAGCAGTGACAGCCAGCAGCCTTCCAGAGAGCGCTCCCTGCGTGGGGCAAAGATGGGCAGTAATTGATGAGAATGCGGTGGAACTGGCTAGGTGTTGTCTGTAAGAGAACTGAGCATCCAAATAAAAACCCAAAAGACAAGTAGTAGAGTTCTGCTGGCTTTTTGGCATGACTGCCTACTGTCTTTTCAAAGAAGTGTGCAAGCCAAGATCCAGTCTCTCCAATCTCAATTAGACTCATTGTAGTGTGTTTTCATTATTACGAAGAAGAGATACAATGGCTTTTACCTTTTTTTTGTTTTGTTTTGTTTTTTCCCTTGAAAGTTGGAAAAATTGGCTCTAGTTGAAAAGAAGGGATTATGTACTTAAAAGTATTTGGTTCGGGTTTTGTTTCATTGTATGCTGCTTCTGAATGTTTAACTGTTTTCAGTTGTCTAAATAAAATGCCTTTCCAAACTCGTACGTTACTTTTGAGCGTTGGGTTCATGAAATGGAAAAGCAACCACATTAATCACGTAATCCTTGGCATCTTGGGTTTGTACTCTAGAGAGAGAAAGCAAAAGAATGTTTTAGGGTTGGTACAGAGGGTGGCAAGTTCTTTGATCTGTAAGCTTTGTATCTTTTTTTTTTTATTCTTTAAAGTTTGAATGTAAACATGAGTCTTGAAAAACAGTGAAAAGTCCTAAATTAAACGTGCTGCCTGAAGTATTTGGTTGTACATGAAAATATCAGAGGCTGGCTGCAAATCTGTGTAAAGCTTGGGTTTAGTCCTCCAGACTGGATAAAAAAGTTACCCTTTCAAGGTTATAAATCATATTTTCTTCATTAAAGAAAATAATTGCCATTCTTTCACTTGTCATTTCCTTTAATGTTATGCTGAAAGCTTTACAGAATGCATTCTGTGTGGTAAGAAGAAAGAGGTATATTTATTCATACACATTTTTATTTTTTCGTATTCCTACTTGTCCTTACTGTCCTGTTTTCAGAGACTACCTATTTGAATTTTATTCTAAAAACAAGCAACTCTGGTTTACAGCTAAATGGTTCAGTCTTGCTAATTCCACTAAGGCTCCACATCTAGTACTTGAGCATAAAAATTCTATTTTACAAATTGGATGCATTTAAAATGAGGAACTTGGAGCACCTCACCCCATGGTGAAACTTGTTGCATGCTGTGGGTTTTATTCCATATTTGCAGTAGGCTCTATAGCATTTCATAAACATGTCTGGAATAAAATCTCAGAATTGTTTAGCTGGGGAAAAAAAACTTTACCATCAAATTCAGCTGTTAACTTAATTAGTTATTCCCACGTTCACCAAAAAAACTCATTCTGCATTTACAGCTTGCTTTGGGATGCATAAAAATGAAATAACTAATAGTCATGTAGTAACAGCTACTAAAATACTGGAAGAAGTTAAAAAAACACCAACCCAATAAAACTAAAGTAGTGTTACGAACAAGTGTTTGAAAAATCACCAGTAAGGATTATCAGCAAAACTTAGATTTAATATTAAGTGACACGACAACAAAGTTCACGTGCAAGATTCACTGTGCTCCTTACAGGACAGTTGAAGCATGCCACAAACAACAAACAACAAAAGCAAACAAAGTCCAGGCAATCACACAGATTAACAGAGCTGTCTAGAGGGATGTGTGTGTATAGTGAGGGCAGGGATAAAAAGGAATAAGGCCTAAAAGCTTAACAGTACTCAAACTTAACAGTACCATTAACCTTCTGCCTTAAACCTAACAATTTTACAGGGGAACAACACTTCACCTACACCTAACTTAACTTAGAACTTTACAATAACAATTTAACAGGGGAAAAACAACAGAATTTAACCCAGTTTAGGATTTAGGATTTAACCTTCTTTACAAACCTTAGACATCCAAGGTACCAATGTTTCATCCCAGACACAGTTAAGGTCAGCATTGTGTTTGAAAGTGTGGGAACAGGGATGTTATGCCACTGAGGCACGAAAAACAATTTCCAAGGCTGTTCTTAAAGAAAACAAGAGCTCACTAGACAGCAGGAGTTCCTGGGAGCAGACAGTGGTTGTGATGAGCTCAAGGGGAGCTGAGCCCTGTGCTGTTTGTCAAGGCCAAGGCATCACAAATATTTCCTAGATGACAGTGTGGCCTGGAAAAGGGGGAGGAGGAGGAGGGTTCATCACCACAAGTACTTGGAATGTTATTTTTGGACTGCTTTGACGGGTCCTAAAGTGCACAGTGCAGGTGGTGTATGCTTCCAGAGTGACTGCTGTCTTTCAAATCGTTGCTTCTCAAAGCACACATGCAGTTTTGGGAAAAGCAAAAAAAAAAAAGTGTCCTCAGCTTTCAGGGCTATGAGCCTTTCCTGCTTTACCTCATGCCATTGTGAATTTGGGGTTTCTCTGTTAGCACTGAGCAAATAGGACTAAAGTTGGGCACTGTTTCACCTAAACATCAATATTAACAATGTACAATATATTTTTCATGAGACTTTGTGGGTTTTTTCCAGATCTGGAAAAAATGTAAAAGCCATGAAATTTTCAGTGCCTTTATTACCAGAATTTCACTCTGCAGGTACCAGTAGGAGTTTTACAGGTTGGTAGGTTGATTGACCCCATGTGTTTGTGTGGCACCAGCTCCTCCTTGAGGAGTGACCATGAAGGAACTGGACAGTGCCTTGACTCATCACCACACAAACAGCACGTTTAGTGCTATGTGAAAACTGTGAAAAACGAGATTTGCAATTTGAATTTTTTTTAAAGTTTAATAAGAGATGAAAAAATCAACCAGCGTTGGGGTGCACACCAGTAAAGTCGAGTGTGATCTCTATACTGTTACATTACTGAGGTACATACATATTCATGTACTTCATACATCATTCAGACATTCCTGTGAGTTTTTGATGTTTCAGGAACTCCTCGGTTTGTTTTCTTTAAACTCTAACTTTTCTGCACGACATCCTGTGAGATATGTTTTATTTCTTCTTGTGATTCCATCCTGTTGTTCCACATCCTCCAATAAGGGGTTAACAAATTCTTCTACGATTCTTCTCAGGTGCTCTGCTTTATCACTGTTTTCTTTATCTCCTGGAGAGGCTGGCCAGCAGATAATTGTTTCCCACTATTTTTTCAGTCACATAGAAGCACTTTAAACATTTCTTGTTTTTGCTAAGGCCTACAATATAATACATTCATCACATCACTATTTCTATAAATTACACATATTTGTATATGTATATATGTTACATAGTTGAACTAATAGATTATGACATACTAATGCACAGCTAAATAGAATTATGCATTGTACTATATCCGAATATTTATGGTCAATACCAGCACGCAAAAACTAATACATAAATGCAAAAGCCAATATTTGTGGGTAGATAAGTTGAAAGGATAGTGCAATTTTCCCCAATGAATTAGAGCTGTACTGATTTCTGAGGAGTGGAAACAGCCTTGCCTGCCAAATGAGGATGGGGGTTCTGAAAGAGTGGGCGAGCTGGCCACTAGTCACACTTGGAGTTGGAGCTTGAGACCCAGAGTCTGCTGCAGTTTGGGATGGGGTCCTGCTGCAGTTTGGGATGGAGTTCTGCTGCAGTTTGGGATGGGGTCCTGCTGCAGTTTGGGATGGAGTTCTGCAGTTTGGGATGGAGTTCTGCTGCAGTTTGGGATAGAGTTCTGCAGTTTAGGATGGGATCCTGCTGCAGTTTGGGATGGAGTTCTGCAGTTTGGGATGGGGTCCTGCTGCAGTTTGGGTTGGGATCCTGCTGCAGTTTGGGATAGGGTCCTGCTGGATGTGCTGTGAGGAGGAAGGGATATGTGGTTGTGCAAGGCACAGACAAGGTGAGAAGATGCTGTGTGAGGAACACACAGGGTTAGGTGGCTGGGTAAGGGACAGGTTGGGGTTTAGCCAGTCATGCAGAAAGGAGGAAACCTGCAGAGAGGAGAGAAGGAGTCAGTAAGAAAAGGAGTCAGTGCTGTGTGAATCAGCTAATGAGGGAAGGAGTTGCCTGAAAGAAATTAACTGAAAGAAAGCATGAAAAGATTTTATTAAAAGACTGGTGTTGGTGTCAGTTGTGCCCGTCTCGACATAACTACTACAAATATTACATGGCGGTTTTTAAGAGAACGGAAGGGCCGTGTATCACGGAAGGAAAGGAGCGGATCATGCCCGCAGCTGCCCCGGCCGCGATCCTTGCCCGGCTCGGTCCCCACGTGGCGGAGCCGCGGCCCCGCCGCTTCCTGCCCGAGCGGGGCGGAGCCGGACCGGAGCCGGGTGTGCCCGGACAGCGGGGCCATGGCGGGCCGGAACCCGGGCACCGAGCTGGGTAAGGGCATTCCCGGGGCTGGGTATCCCCAGAACCGGGTATCCCCCAGGACCGGGTATCCCCGGAACCGGGCATCCCCCAGGACCGGGTATCCCCGGAACCGGGTATCCCCCAGGACCGGGTATCCTCGGAACTGGGCATTCCCCGGAACCGGGCATAAGCTGGGCTGGGTATCCCCAGAACTGGACACCCCCGGGACCGAATATCCTCAGAATTAGGCATCCTCCAGGACCGGGCAGCCCCGGGACCGGACACCCCCGGGACCGGCTATCCTCGGAACTGGGCATTCCCCAGGACCGGGTATCCCCCGGGACCCTAGACCCCCGGGACCGGGTATTCTCGGAACCGGCCATCCCCCGGGACCGGGCATCCCCCGGGACCAGGCATCCCCCAGGACCGGACACCCCCGGGACTGGGCATCCCCCAGAACTGGGTATCCCCAGAACCGGGTATCCCCAGAACCGGACGCCCCCGGGACCGGCTATCCTCGGAACTGGGCATCCCCCAGAACTGGGTATCCCCAGAACCGGGCATCCCCCGAACCGGACACCCCCGGCACCGGGTATCGCGCAGAACCGGCCATCCCCGGTGCTCGCTGCGGGTCCCGGGACGGTCCCGCAGCCCGGCCCAGCCTTGCCGGCACTGCGGAGCCGAGTTCCCGTGAAAAGCCGAAATAGGAACAGCGCTGAGCTTCCCGTGGGCGTTCTGACACGAAACCGGGAGCAGGGTTTGGTGCTGCGGGTTAAACACGAGTTCCGTGTCACACAGGGGTTTGGATTGCGGGGTTCTGAGCAGGGCAGCCCTGCAAAGCTAATCCTGGTTCTCTCTGCACGACATTCTGTCCAATCCTTCCTCCTCTCTTTCTCACAAAGAGATTAAAAACATTGAATCCTGTCTCTGATTTGCGAACTCGAGACTCCGCCTCTTCTGCTCGCTCTCCTTGTTGCTTGCTCTCTGAGGATTTTCCAGGTGTTTTTGGTCTCCAGCCCGAAAGGTGGCTGTGCCTCAGGTAAGGCAGAGCACAGCCAAGAAACTTTCCCTTTTCCTGCCTTTGCCCTTTTTCTCCTCATTGCTGGGGAAGGGGAAAGTGCTGCAGCAGGGGGATGAGTTAAAGCAGCGAGACTTCCTACAGCCCGCCTCTAAGGTGTGATAATTCGGTCAGTATGAGGAGGTTAAGGTGAGATAATTCGGTCAGTATGAGGAGGTTAAGGTGAGATAATTCGGTCAGTATGAGGAGGCTAAGGTGAGATAATTCGGTCAGTATGAGGAGGTTGAGATAATTCGGTCAGTATGAGGAGGTTAAGGTGAGATAATTCGGTCAGTATGAGGAGGTTAAGGTGTGATAATTCGGTCATTGATTATTCGGATGTGGACGATGAAGCAGAGGAGACACAGGCAGTCATGGACAAGGGGGAGCAAAGGGCAGCTGGTGTGGAACAGGTAGGACTCAAAGCTGGCAGGAGCAGAGTTCAGGGATTGTTCCATCATGTTCCTGTAGTGAGAACAAGCACAGGCACTTTTTGCAGACATGCAAAAACTGCATTTAAACATGCAGTGTAAATGTTAGCGCTGTGGATGGATAAGTGGGAGCTGCGTTTCCATTCGCTGGAATTGTGGAGGTGTTGCAGCTTTCAGAAGTGAGCTGACTCCTCTCTGATGTCCTTGTTCATGGGCTGCTTGTAGGGACAGGTGAGTTTCGACTGCAGCCGTCTGAAGAGCTGAAACAAACTTGAATAATGACAAAACATCACTAAGTGTTAGGAAAAGCAGCTAGCACAAAAGTCTGCAAATGCTCTCCAGTTGCTTTCAACTAGGGGTGTGTCATGCTTTTTCTTAATAAATTGAATAAATTAATCACAATGATGTTTGGGGAATCCAGAAATTTGAAGGTGAGGTCAGCACAGTTCTGATCCTTGTTGCCATCCCTTCCCAGTGATCTTTGTTTAACCCAGCTGGGTTAGATGTTCAGGACAGGTGTAGGAAAGGGAATGGTGTGGCTGTGACCATGTTTAAATGGCACATTCTAGCATCTGCCTTATGCTGGCTGCTTTAAAGAGAGAGCTGCACCTCCCTGCCATTTGCTCTCCCACTAAATCCCTTTCTGAAATACAGCAGCAGAAAGAACAGGGTAAACCCTTACCTTTATCTTTCCTAGCTGCTAACAGTACTCACTGCTTCTGTGACTTAGGCACTTCAGCTTTTGAAGGTTTTACAAGCCTGTGCCAGCAGCTTTAACACTAATTCAGGTGATTTGCCCTGTTTCCCACACAGCTTTGTGTAGAACTAGAGTTTTCTAACAGGGACATCTAGTGGCAAAATATATTCTACTTAAAAATATATTTTTTGTTTCCTTTTCTGTGTCTGCTGTTTCTGTGCATGCTACATAATGTAATTATTGAAGCAGTAGGGCTCTGGTGTTGCCTTTAGAGAGGATCTATTTGTTTATCACTGACAAGCCAAACTCTTCACAAATCATGGCATGTAGTGCTTTCCTGTGTGATATAAAAAAAAATTATAAAATTCCTTGATTCTTCCCCCCTTATCTCCTTATCTTGTACCCATCACTGTGCCTTAATAGAAGAAAGTGTTACCTTGGAATTAAGAATAGGTGCATGTTACACAGATGAAAAGACCCTGATATGTACAGTCAGGGACTCTCCAGTCTCATACACTGATCCCTTCCCTCTGTATGTCTGAATATATACACACACATATATTTGTGTATTCTGAGTAAGAGCTAATTAATTGCAGTTGTTTTGCAGTGTTCTTGCATTCCAAAAAAAACCCATTATCTATCTGCGTTGCTCAGACCCTCTAGCTGAAGGGCCAAAAATACATTCATTATGTTTCAATTGATATTTTTAATTATAGATGGTATTTCTGAGCCTTCTGCATGTGAGAGCTAGCCTGGTGGTAAGTGGCATTTAGATAATGAAGTGTTACATCCCTTTTCATGGCAGCATAATTCTGCTCTAATATATTAATAGCTGGTTTTAGCCTGTACTGTGGCTCTGGTTCTTCACTGTTCTAACACCTTTTGAATCTGCTGGGTAATTCTAATCGAATTTGAAGGATAAGTAAATGTCTTGGAAATAAGTAAGGCTGTGGGTGGAGTGACCAAATCAGTTCTTTGCTGAGGGAAAAGCAGGTTCAGATGAGCAGTTACATGAATTTTCATTGCAGCTATTTTATTTCTGGCCTTTATGCCAGTACCAGAGTCCTGTTTTACTCGTGCTTGTAAGGACCACGTGAGGACAGCTGGGATTTTGGGGTGAGGAGATGTCTCAAGCCAGGGAAGAAGAGAGGATAAAGGAAGACCCACATGAAATTAAGGATCTCTTGGTCCATATCAAGTGTTGCTGTGGAAAAATAGCTGTGACTTCTGTCCTGACAAAGCTGGATAATCCCAAATCTCTAAAAGGCTTACATGGTGAGACACCTGTAACAAGACCTGATCCCAAAGCCTTTTTCTCTGCCTGCAGTGGCTTTGCTCAGCTCTGTGTGGCCAGCTGGGCTCAGCCTGTGGCCAGCTGAGCTCCTCATTTCTCCAGGAAGGTTCAGGACACAGTTCTTCTCCCAAAATAAAACAGCTTTCATCACTTCCCTTCCCCTTTTCTCGTGTGCTCATGGTAGGAGCAGGAGCACACATGCTGTCCCTGGCACACAAAATGAAATAATCAGTTGAGGGGGGCAGCTCCTTTTGGGAACAGTGCTGCCTTAAAATGCCTGTGAAACTCCTGCCTCAGGCATTCTTCAGCTTTCTGCTTCACCATCTGAAGGGATGCCATCAACACATTTTTTTTTAAAAGCCTCGATAAAGCCTAGTCTGTTTTGTGAGGAATGTGTTAGGAAGCTTAGATATTTATGTAATTATCCTAATGAAGTGGTTTCATTTATTGTTTTCTGAGGAAATGCTCAGTAGTTTTGGATTCGTGTTCTTCAAAGAGAGGAGATGAATTTCCTGTTAAGGAATTGAATATGATTTTTTCGAATGTCTTCAGAGAAAAAAGTAAACTAGAAGAGTGATTACAGAATATTGACTAATTAGCTGTAGTGTAACTGCTTTAATTACTTTTATCCCTGAAGCCACATGACTGTGCAGATGACTAGCAGATGACTTATTTAAAAAAAAAGAAAAAAAGACGTGTTCACACTGCAAGGTTAATGAGCCTAATTAAATATAGTTTTCCTTAGCCAGATACTAAATCATAAAGCTTGGGGGAATGAGGGAGGGGGAGAATCCAAAGGCAGTCAGTTCTATTTCAAAAAATGGTTTTATTCTGATATTTAATGAAAAAAAGAGAGAAAAGCTGGAATGCTGAGTGATTTTTCTGAATAAAGGCACTTAGATCTAAAGATTTGATGAGGCCTCACACGGCAAACTTTCAAAGTCTATTTAGAGACAATTATGCTGAGACATATTTGTTTTCACTTACCCATTGCTTTAATTAATGTAGGAATGGGCTTGAATAAAAGGTCTGTGTTCTATGGAAGCCTCCATCTGCTGCTGCATATTACCAGAACCTTTGTCCTTCCTTGCCGTGCCATTTTTATTGCACCCTTTTATTTCTTTCATGATGTCTCACATTAAGCTGTACAGAAAGGATGGAGCTCTGATTTTTTTGTTATGTTATTCCTTTTTTTTTTTTTTTTTTTTAATTCTTTGCCTGTGCTGTGATTCGAGTTCCCACACTCAAAAAAAAAAAATAAAAATACTTGGAGATCCACATTGTGTGGTCTTTCAGGGACTCTTGTGTCCCATGCACAAAAATGAGATATTGGACATTACTGAGTTGCCATGGGTCAGGTAAGGAACCTTTGGGACTAGCCTTGAGTCACTGAAAACAGAGGGTAAAATGTGTGGAAAGGCTTGAACCAATGGATTTTGTCCTATTTGCCAAGAATGTGCAGTCAGCTATTGCTGATGTGCTGATACTTGGTGACTTTGACAAGGGACTTTGGGCAAAGCAAAAGCAGTGGCTCATTTCCACTTCCACTCTCCTTCCACACCTTTTCTCCCATTATGAATTGTCCTCTTTCTTTTTTTTTTTTTTTTTTCCCTTTCCTTTCTCCAAATGGCTTTGCAGTTGATTATTTTCTTTAAGCTGATCTGGTGTGCAGGGCTCTACATCCTAAAAAGATTTCCTAGACCTGAGTCAGGTGGGGTAGATCCAACAGCTGTATCAGACTGAATCCTCTACAAACAATGACTAATGAAGAATTAACCTACTCATGGGCAAAATTTGTGTCCTTTCATTGAAATTTTCATCTTAAACTTGAATTTTCCCTAACAGACTGAACACTGTCTTCATATTCTCCCAAAGAATTGTTTTTATAAATCATTTCTTAGTTCGTTTTCTTGGTTGTCTTCAAAAATGTAGAAAGAATAGGTTAGAGCAGACCAACTGAAAGGATCTTTATTAGAGAGGGAGAAGCTGAGTTCCTCACCTAAACTGCTTCCTTTGGTTTTATGGCATTTTCCAAAGGGGCTGAAAGGTCACTGTGCACCCAGGAGGGTTCAAAAGTTATTCTAATAAATGGGATTGTGATTAAAATGATGCTATCTCAGCACCTGGCACGTCACAGAGTTTGTGTGTCCCTCCTCTATTTATTTATTTATTTATTTATTTATTTATTTATTTATTTATTTATTTATTTATTTATGTGTCTTTTTCTCCCCCATGGACTTTGTTAAATGTGTGCCTACTGTGCCTAGAGGAAAAAAAGGAGGAAAGTTGTAGCCATAGTTTTTGTAGCAATTTTGTCTTTGTCTACTAGCTTTTTTTTTAAGTTTGAAACCTTTTTTTTTTAAATCAACATGCTCAAGGGAAATGCAATTTAACACTGTAGTAAAGAAGATTCATAGAGTGACATGCTCTTAATAAATTCAGTCACCCAGAATTATTATCTCCTGGTATCTGTCTATGCCCATGTCTATATTCTGACCTTAACTAGTGGTGATATTTGATGATTGATGGTGGTGATTTGCTGGTGATTGGTGGTTAATGATTGTTGATGTTATTTTTCAGAGTGTTTTCATGGAATGTTTATATGACTGGTATGTAGAAGAATTATTTATGTTCTGGGATGTGAGAGATTTTAAAGATATTCAAATTTCTTTTTCCTGTGTACTCTCATGAACTGTCTGTGTTTGTTAATATTAAGAATTACACTCTGGATTTACTATATTAAGCAGAAATTTAAAAGATTCAAGAGCCTGAACCCACAGTTCTCCTTTATCAGTCAGTTACACTTTGTTAAGCAGTGGCCAATATTTGATTCTTCTGGCTCTAGACAATTTCATTATTTCCCAAAAGCATCTGCTGCTCTTTGGGAATTCTGGAATCTAGAAATAAGTCATCAGGCAATGGCAGAAGGATGTTTGGTAGGTTGGTTTTGTTTTGTTTTTTTTTTCATGTTACACATAATAAACTTCTCAGTCCAGGGCTGGCAGCACAATGTCTCTGTCTCATCAGCACTCAGTTAATTCACTTGTAATGGCACAGGAAACATGTGTGAAATACCCAGTTCACAGATCATCCCCTAACAGAAGCTGAGCTTATTTTGGGCTGGTGATAAATATACAAACCCTTAGAAGGACGTGAAAGCACAACACTCTCTTCAGAGCTTCCAAACTTTCTACAACTCTCTTCTGAAGTACCATATTTTAAAAGAACACAGAAATAGATGAAGCTTTTTTATTTTATTTTTTTTTTTCTTTCTTTCTCCCCCCAGAACTTGGCTGGATCTCCAAAGTGTATGTGAATCGACCTGCAGTGGTGAGGCATGCAGAACAAATTAAAAAATGGAAAACTGTGAAAGGTAATTGGCAAGTAAGTGCTCTTCTTATGCATTCTGTTCTTGTATTTTTAACACACTCACTCTCCCTCTCCAGGCTGTAATATTGAATTTTTTTCAAGATACATGTAAACTTAAAAGATGTGCTTGTCCATGTCTTATTTTAGTAATTTGTGTTTGATGATGATGGGCTGGAATAAGGTGACGCATTTATCCAAACAAGTTAAAAACCTTATAACTCATGACTGGCAAAACTGCAGATGGATTTAAGTCATCTTTATTCATGAGTGGATTAAATTGTATATTACTATCCCTCCACATTTATTCTGTTTCCCAGACAGACTTCTCTGCATGCTGCCTTCTTATTTTTTAATTTTAAAGCTGTAAGATATGATCACGGTCCCTGTCAAGTTTGACCTACCTGGATGATTTTTCTTTACTTAAACATTCTCAATGTGTGTGATTTCATTGCTTAACTAGTTTTTTAGCTAAAATTCAAAAATCCTGTCTGGCTGTGGCATTCAGTGGGGGGAAGGAGCCCACTAAGGTTAGGAAAACTGATTTTCAGCTGCTGAGATAAGGTAAATGGTTGGGTTTTGTCCATTTTAGTATAAAAGGACAAACTGTTTCTCCATTCACCAAGCAGCTGTTCTGCAAACAATGCTTGGGATGCTTCCCCTCTGCACCCTGAACAAGTTGGTGATGTGCAGCAGTAGCTGGAAACCTGGAAGCAGGAGGAAGGAGATGATGAAGGATCAATCTTAAGACTGGAACATAATAGAACAAAGCAAGAATCCTTTAATTATACTTAATTCTTAAAAAAATCGTTCAAAATAGTTGACATCATGCAAGCATTGTGGAGTGGCTGAAGCTGTGCTCACAATGAGCACAGATTTTGGGATTACAGTTTGGGGATGATTTGATGTAGGTGTAAGATGTTATTGGAAGGTGATAGAAAAAAAGTTTCCTGCCTGTTTTTCCTTCCTGAACATTTGTGCTTTGTGTGTCATGATTAAATTTTAAAATGTAAATAAATGGAGGAGATTTAGACAGCAGCTTGGCATTTCTTTAGAGTTTCTTATGCATTAAAAGTTATTTGACACCAAGTTTATCAGTCCAGTGGCTCTGGGTTGGGAAATAACATCAGTGAGAAGCTCCATAACCATGGCTGTGCTCAGATACTGCAGGTGCAGCCCTGTGAAAACGAAGTCTTCTTTTAACTGAGGTTTCCATGTAAATAACAGAGAGAGCCACAGGCTTTGATTGTGGAGGCTCATTGGGAGGAAAGGGATTTCGTGTCACTCCCACAGCACAGCTGGAGGACAGATGTTTATTCCTAACAATTCTCCCTTCTCCTGTCCAGAAACACCAGCACTGGAGCAAGGTTTCCCTTTGGAGGGTGTCAGAGGCAAATCTTGTGTGTTTGAACACTGCAGGGCAGTCAGTCCTGTGCTGTTTTCTTAACAGAGATGATTTTGAACCTGTACTCTTGAATGTAAGCAGCATCACAGATTCAAATTCTGTAGCCTGTTTCCCAAAATACCCAATTGAAAAATCCTTTAAAAAAACCCGAAGTTTATACCAGTTCTTGAAACCCCCTGACTACATCTGTCTTGATGACTGTGATTCATGGCATAAGAAAGGAGACAAAAATTCACTCAAAGAGAGGATTAAAAAATCCGAGTTAAAGCAGCATAAAACTATTTCAGAGGAAAGCCTGTTCCCAAGTATTAAAGGATGAAAGAAGGAACCAGAAACAGTGAGGCTTAGACTAACAGGGGCCAGTGATGGTTCATGACCCCATTGCCACTGCAAACTCTCCTCCTGTACCTGTGCCCTGGAAGAGAAGTCAGCTTTGAGTGAAGCCCTCACTGTGAGTGTTTTCTAGAAGACCTTCAACAGATATTACAAAATAATGTCTTAAGCTCAATTTCTGTTCAGCAAAAAAAAAAAGCTCATAAAAATTTTAGTTATGCTTCTGCTCCATTCTTTGATTAATAAGTCTTTAAAAATTCTGAAGCATTTCCATCTAAAGAGTGCTTTAAGCTTATCATTTACCTCTTGCTTTTGGGGTTGTTTTTTTTTTTTTTTGCACCAGAATGACAGATGTTTTTTATTCCTGATTCCCACAGAAGGAAGTGGATCCTTTCTGTGTCATTAGATACTGCTGAAGACATGAACAGATACCTGCCAGCCCTGTCTATCCTAAGCCATTATTTGCTTATCCTCCACAGTTACATCCTATGCATTTCCCCACTGTCTGAGTGAGAGCCAGGCTTCTGATTCCTGCATCTTCTAAGGCAGTTTGGCTTTGGAAGTGCAAACAGAAATGCTCCATTCCTTGCTTTGTTCCCTCTGCAGGCAGCTTGGCTGCTGAAAGCTGTCACCTGCATAGACCTCACCACCCTCTCAGGAGATGACACTCCTTCAAATGTTCAAAGGCTGTGTTTTAAAGCCAAGCACCCCATCAGAGAGGATCTGCTCAAAGCCCTGGACATGCATGATAAAGGTAGGGTGGCTTTTGGGCCGTGTGTTTTGTGGAGGAAATGTTTCCTCATTATTTTCTTGCTTTTCAGAAGGGATCTTGGTGCACTGATTGAAGTCTTCCACTGATTGAAACCATATACATCAAATATCAAAGATTAGTCTTTATTAAAAGCTTGGATATATGGACTCTTCAGAAGGTTGAAGTCTAAACATGAGGTCAGTTATCTGAGAGCTTGAGAGAAGAGCATTTTAGCTAGAAATGCAGGAACATAAAGATTTCTCAGTTGCTGTGGGCTCAGTCTGGCCCCACAAGAGCAGAGCTTGGCACTGCAGTTCCTCCTGCAGCAATTTGCTGATCAAGCATGCCTTGACTGTGTGCTTTGGCATTAAACTGTGAGGCTGTAAATAAAAATCCTGGAGTTTTAACTCCTGCTAATGCAGACTTGCTGCCAGGCTCAGGTGAAGGAACAGGAGGGAGGAAAGAGCACGAGAATGACCTGAACCATTTGTGGGGTGGAACAGACATCCCTGTGAGGACAGTGCACCTGTGCTCATGGAGAAGGTGGAATTCTCTGTATGAAACACAGAGAGCTGTGGTTTTTTTTGCAGGTATCACTGTTGGAGCAGTTTGTGTGTACCCTGCAAGAGTGTCTGATGCTGTGAACACCCTCAAGGCTGCTGGTTGTAACATACCAGTGGCTTCAGGTAAACTCGATTCAAAAATATCCCATTAAATCATTTGATGTTATAAAATACATGGAAAAATCCAGAAGTTTGAGCTTGCTTTTGTGTCAGGGAATAAGGTGAAAAGGTAGCAGGTGGAAGGAAGGGAATGGAAGGAGGGTTTTCTTCTGGTATATCTTTTGTTGCCTTTCAACTTCAAGCTTATCAGGAATGCCAAGTCTTTTTGCTGGAAGCTCTTCAAAGAGGCCTTTAAAATACATCAGTGTTTTTCCCCACCTGGACAGAAGAAATTGAGATAAAGTGCTGGACAAGTATCAGTGTACACTAAGTAGATGATGATGATGGGAGTTCTAATAAAGGTTTATTTTTCCTATCATGTTTGGCTTTTAAGTGTAATCCTGTATCAAGTTTTAGCCCAAGCCAGCC